TTTGTATGAGAAAGAAAGGAACGGGATAGATTTGGAAAAATATAAATGGAAAATTGACGTACTGAGAGGATTAGCTGAAAAAATTCCCAATTCAAATCTGCCATATTATGAACAACAAAACATGGGAGACTTGCTGGGGATCATCTACGCTCATTGGGTTATTTAAACGAATCATCTATGGGACTTGTTACTTGAAATCCGGACGTTCCAACACGATAGCCGAAACCCTATCCGAAAAATTTTACAGAACTGCGACTTTTTTTTTCCCGAAACCTGACACGAAACCCGAAACCGAAATTCTTAAGACCCTCTTTTCTTACTCTGCCCCATTGATACGAATAGTGCAGAATTCGAAAGTGCTGAAATTTTCGGTATCCGGAAATTTTCCGTCAAGGATCCGTTAACCCTAAGCAAATGCCCGCAAACTAAAAATAATTATAACTTTTAGTCTATACAAATAGTTGAAAAAAACGGATTATATTACTTTTATAATGAAATATTCAAAATAAACTTTGATTTCAATTGGACTACATTCACGTTTAAACAAAGCGTACACGATTCTCCGTTTAAACCAACTCCGATTGAAAGTGGAGTTCAAAGTGTTGCAGGATCAGGACGTTCAGGCTTAGCTAGTGGGCAAAGATCAGGGCAAGATAGTGGGCATATCAAATTTGAAGATGAGGAAGAGGGGGAGGAAGGTGCTAATGAGGATGAAGAGGAAGAAGATAGTGATGACGAAGAAGATGATCAACCAGAACCTCCCACAACGGCATTTCGTCAAGGCCAAGGGCATGGAGAGATACAAGAAGAAGGACAGCAGCCAGGCTGGCAAATTGGATATCCTCCGCAATGGACAGGTAACTCAATATATAACAGAATTAGGAGGGAACTAATCTCATACATGTAACTATTTCTCAAGTTTTGTCCTCCGTGGCATTGCAGGGATTGAATTGAGAGATTCCTAGCTAGGTCCCGAATTTTCCAAAAATTACGAAGTCTCTCCTGACATAAATATCCATATGCTTCAGGCCAGAATATTCCGTGGAATCCGCAGTGGGCAGGTTATATAATAAAAAATTAAATTCTAAGTTTATTCAAATCCTCCAGGACAAGTTGATGAATACGGGCGACCAATCTATGCTTATCCAGGAGAATCAAGTCACCATCATATGGGGCAGTCAAGCCATGATCCATGGAATCCTACACATTAAAACAAGGCGAACAAATTTGCATAAATTTGAATGAGAAAGTTAAAAACTGACTGTGACATGAAATGTCTTTTTTGGGATTATTTTTTCTAGTATTTACCAAGGGGTTATCGATATTAGTGTGGTTACCTTTCTTTAAATCGGCTCTATATTTTGGTCATTTTTTTATTTTTATTTTGGGCAACATTTGCTTTATACGAATACAGTCAACTCGATTTACCAAACTCGAAGGGATGTTTAAGTAGAGTCAAAGTCAGGGGCTTGAGAATTTTATTTTGAGACGATCGTTAATTCGAAAGTGTTGATATAACGAGATTGACTGTATGTATTTTTAGACTGTATGTATTTTTACTAGTACCGCGTTTTTATCAAAGGATGGCCGGGCATTCCATTTTACATTAACTATTAGAAGGGATTACTATTGGGTGGGGCTTACTATTAGAGGGGATTACTATTGGGTGGGGCTTACTATTAGAGGGGATTACTATTGGGTGGGGCTTACTATTAGAGGGGATTACTATTGGGTGGGGGGGGGGGTTCTATTAGAGTGGGTTTGCTATTAAAGGAGGGATTCTATTAGAGGGGCCTTCAATTATAGGGGCGTTCTATTCGTAAAATATGGCAGTTTTAAAATTATTTTACTAAAATTGGTATCATATTAAATCTATTATTTTCATTTTTCAAACTTTTCATTTTGTAGTTATATTATAGCTAGTGTTGCACGAGGTCGATGTTTTTGTAAAACCCGAGACCGAGGATCAACGAGGCGGGAAAAGCCGAGATTGAGGGGTCGAGGGTATTTTTGAGACTGAGATTGCAAAAGCGGTGAGGATCTCGGTCTCGACGAGGCCTCGACCTCGTGCAACTCTAATTATAACGGTCATTTCTATTCATTTATTATCAACTTTCTTAGCTTTTTTTAGATAAAATTTAAATTTTCTTATTAGAAAATTCCTTAAATTTACAAATTTTTTAATTAAAAAGAGAATATCCCTTTTTGAAAGCGAGTCAAAACACAACCTAGAGGCAAGGAAAAACAGTAAACAATTAAATTGCAAAAAAATGTCTTTTTGGGACCAAATGTCATTTTTTGATAAATATTAAACAGAATGCCAAAATAAATTTCCGTGGAAAGAGGAATATTTAAATAACCGGTTACAGGGTTGAGGCCCGGATAAATAATTTTGCCGACACTAGTTTACATTTAAAAACCCCAAATTTGAAATTGTTAGTTGATCCGTTTATATTTAATTTTTTTAATTGAAGGCACCCTCTATGAAATATTAAAAAAAAGTTTTGATTTTTCTAAATTTTGGATTTTACTTTTAAAAATTTATACCTTATATTTTAATCAATTTTTAAATTTGTTTAACTTTTAAAAAGTTGCCGGTAAAATTTTTTTTAATTTTGGCAAATATTATTGATTCTATCAATTTATTTAAAGGCATGATGGGCAATTCGACGTGTCCTTTTTACAGTAATAGGAGCCCTATAATCGACTAATAATGAACGTTTGGGCGCTTAATGTTTTGGCGCCCAGTTGTATAAAGTTGGGGTTGGGTTCCGTAACAGTTCATCATGTTCGGGACATATGCCCACTTGGCTGGGACATTTCCCTACCCTATCCCTCGAAATTTTCTAAATAAATGGTAAAGCCAATTTTTAAAAATTTCAGAAAAACGATTATAACCTTCAGAAATTTCGAGGGATAAGGTAAGGAATGGTCCCAGGCCCAATGGGCGTAGGTCCCGAACATGAAGAAATGTTTGGAAATAGAATACAACATTCTATTCCTTCAAGAATAGAATGTTGTACGGAATTTTGGACAACAAGTCAAAAAACGGAATGTTGGGCACTGAAATTTTGGTCCCCAGTAGATTGGTCAATTTCACTGGTGATCACTTTCCCGGTTAATCAACTCTCTCCCGGCTGATCCGGGAGAATGGTCAGCCGGGAGAGTGATCACTTGGGAGTGTGATTAGCCGGGAGAGTGATAATTTTACCATTTTGTGAATTTATTTTGTGAATTAGTAAAGCAGAGCTAGGCTATAGCTATTTCTCTCCTTCAGCTAGTCCTTCAGCTTCAGTCCTTCAGCAAGTGTTGCCCTTTACCTTTTTTTAAATTTATACTACAACATTTAAAAAGACGCTTATCCTCGCTCCTTCTTTATTAAATTTTGGCAAGTATTATTGATTCTATCAATTTATTTAAAGGCATGATAGGTAAAATCCTACGTGTCCTTATTTTTTATTAATGGAGGGGGTCCTATAAAACGATTAAAAATGAACGTTTGGGCGCCTAAAAGTTTGGGCGCCGCCTGTCTAAATAAATAAATTAGGTATTTAACTAATTTATATTTAAATATTTATTTTATACTCTAAAATTTTTGAAAATTATTTTTGCCTCCAAAATAAAGTCGCTGAACACTAAAGTTGGGAATTAGGTGTTTTAGAGTCGGGGATCTAAAGAAACTCGAGATTCTCGATTCAGATACCTGTTGTGATAGATGGTTGTGGTGAGACCTGGAGACTTAATCCAGCCGTACACAACTCTGTTATGCTATGTCTATAAAGAAATTTCTGCATGCCATCTGGATTTTGAAGGTTTCTCAGATTCGTCAGCTTTAATGTGCCGTCTCTGAAGGCGAGGAATTTGAGACTTCCCCTACAATGCCGTCGAATAAAATATCGAAGTGGGCCCTCAGAGGATTCCCCTCAAGACTTCCTCTAAGGCCCTCAGAGACTTCTGGGCACTCAAAACTTCCTCTCACCCCTCAGAGACTTCTGGGCCCTCAAGACTTCTTCTCAGGCACTCAGAGACTTCTGGGCCCTTAGAGACTTATGGGCCCTCAGAGAATTCCTCTCAGGCCCTCAGAGAATTCCTCTCAGGCCTCAGAGAATTCCTCTCAGGCCCTCAGAGAATTCCTCTCAGGCCTCAGAGAATTCCTCTCAGGCCCTCAGAGAATTCCTCTCAGGCCTCAGAGACTTCTCGGCGCTCAAAGACTTCCTCTCAGGCCCTCAAAGACTTCTGGGCCCTCAGAGACTTCCTCTCAGGCCCTCAAAGACTTCTGGGCCCTCAGAGACTTCCTCTCAGGCCCTCAAAGACTTCTGGGCCCTCAGAGACTTCCTCTCAGGCCCTCAAAGACTTCTGGGCCCTCAGAGACTTCCTCTCAGGCCCTCAAAGACTTCTGGGCCCTCAGCGACTTCCTCTCAGGCCCTCAAAGACTTCTGGGCCCTCAGAGACTTCCTCTCAGGCCCTCAAAGACTTCTGGGCCCTCAGAGACTTCCTCTCAGGCCCTCAAAGACTTCTGGGCCCTCAGCGACTTCCTCTCAGGCCCTCAAAGACTTCTGGGCCCTCAGAGACTTCCTCTCAGGCCCTCAAAGACTTCCTCTCCGGCCCTCAGAGACTTTCCCTCACACATCAGATGAAATTTTGAAATAACTCTACGCCCATGCCCGCGGCCAAACATCACCTATCACATTATACCCTCTCATAATAAAGTCCCTCCCTCCTTTATTAAATAAATAGTAAGGGATGGAGAGAGAAATGCACATTTCATTTTTTAAATTTTTTAAAATTAAATAAATTCAGTTTAGAGAAAAAAAATTTTAAATAAATAAAAAACGCATCGCATGCACATAATTAAAGTATATTTCCCGTATAATTTTTTCTAATTTAGACAAAAGTTTTCTAAAAATGCATCTCTGGACATTTTTCTCTTTAATTATTTTATTGGCTATGGCCACTGAAATCTTTGGAGGAGGAAGAAGGGATGATAAAATAGCAAGGGATTACCAATTTTCTACCGGACATTCATCTAAGACCTCTTTCGAGCGAGAGATGGATAAAAAAATTGAAGAAACTAAAAGCTTAGCTAACAAAATTTCAAAGGGGGCAAAGGAAGGGATGCAAAACTTTGTAAAAGGAGCTAAAAAGGCTGTACAACAAGTAGTAACGGAACGAGGAGGTTGGAATATATTTTTTGAGACATTTTTGTATGGTAAACAGAGGGATTTCAGGATTTTTGACAGCGACGTTTGTGGGGTCATTGCACAGGTAAAGCAAGCCTCCCTTTGTAATCACCTCCTAAACGGAAAAGCGGAAAAAGTAGTGGAAATTTTTTTATTTATGTAGGTCCTATTACACCTGCCCGCAGATTTTGCGGTCTTCGTTCTGTGCAAAGACCGCAGAACCGCAGAACTGCTGTCTCAATTTTCCGCACAGAAATTGCGGAAAAATGTGTCTACAGAATTTGCGAACAACTGAAATAAGGCCCTGGTAGTGAGCGAGGTCGTCGCTGCTTGGGGTCGAGTCGGCACTGACGCCACCATGGTCCACGTCTTTATACAACGGAACCTGATCGCCCTATAATTTTCAATAATATTTAAGATTATCAAAGGGACTATAAAAATAATCTCGAAGAGTTGAAGCACATAACAAGTCAGGATTATTTAAATTATTTGGGAGATATGCTTGAACAAACAAATGGAATTAATATCCGAGGATATTCAAAGCATTTTAAAAATATAAAAGACAAACTTGAAAGGATTAAATCAAATCACAAAAAGAAAGGCGAAATTCTTTCGGTTATAATGGACTTGTTTATGAATGAAGAGATAAAAGTTGATGAAAACCGGTGTAATTTTATTGGTGAAAAAATTGAAATGTATGTTCGAAAAGAAACTAAAATATATTTTGAGGTTGATAGTTTAAATTAGAGGAAGGGGGGGGGGGGGGGGGGTATATGGGGTAGTATGGTAATGGAAATCTGGGTGGTAATACGGGCTTGGTATCCGGGGGTTTCTTTAAAGCTGACCCGGGCGAGACTTTCCAGCAGACCCTGAAACCCGGGAACTCGGGATACAAGGTTCAACCGGTTCAAAATATCCGGTTCCGAGCTACCGGACCTCTGGGCTCCTAGAAAAGTATAAAAAATGACGGAACTCCGCATATTTTGAAAATATGCGGATTTTAAAATTTAATTTACTATTAAATTTATCAATTTTAAGATTGCCAACCCAGAGTAAGTTAAATTAATTTTAATTTTCTTCTACAAGTTTGCATGGTATTACAATTGCGGAATTAAAAGATTTATAAAAGCTTTAGCGACACTCACCTTATGATAGTATAAAGCAGTGTTATTCAAATGCGTTTTTCCGTTACCGGTATTTTCAGTAAATACCGAAACCGAAAAATTCCGATTTTTATAGAAACGACCGTTACGATACGCGCTCACCCTGTTACGCTAACTAATTTGGTCTTCGCGCATACCTATTTTGTTTCCTTTTACTCTGAACAAATAATTAAAAATTCTTAATTAAAGCAACGGAACACTGAAAGCTTGTAATCTTGTAAAGCCTGAAAATGTCCCTCAAATGGAGCAAAATATAAGAAAATTTTTGAAAAACATACGAGAAGAATATAAAGAATATTTCAAAAGTGTGTCTTATGGAAGTAAACTTGTTTATAGAGAAACAACGAAGCATTTATTTCTATTTGATGATAATGATGTTATGAAAATTGGTAGTTAATGTCGTTGAAAATATGGAAATAAAAAATTGAATCTCCCCGGGGTTTGGAAATTAAGGCGCCGGAAACGGAATTGTCGGAACTCAGAAAGCTCAATAGTCGCAACTCGTAAATAGGAAATCATCGCAAACTTTCTGAACTGTGAACTAGGGTAGCACCCCAAGCCTTTCAGGACGGGATCGTCGGGAATCGGGGTTTGTCGAGGTAGAGCCTTCGTGGTTCAGGTCGGGGTTTTTGCCAAAAAATAGTCGGGTTTCGGAGGGTGGGGTGTTTCCTACTCTGAACTAACCCCTTTCTCAGATATCCGTAAAAGCTTCTAATGGGACAAGGGCTTCTTTTATTGGGATATTTATTCACTGTAGAGAAGGGAAAAGTCTATTGGTCATTCTCATTCCAAAGGACTTGGTCCAGGTTCCGGATTGTTTGTCAAATTTCAGTTCCAATGCAACAATCGATTAAAAATGGATACTTAAACTGTCTGAGCTAAACTTTTACTTTCCTCTTACCTTAAAACATTATACTTTTTTAGCTGACAATGCCTCTTCATCTGAAAGAAAACTTAGCAATAAAACTTTACAAAAGATTAAAAATGCTATAAAGGGTATACCCGCAAGGGAAATCAAAACACAATTGGATTATATTAATGAAAATATTGAACCAATGTGGGAACAAATAGCTGGCAAACATAACAAAATTATTAAACTTTACAGAGTACGTTATGCTAAAAGTTTTGGTTCCGTTAGCCTTCCCAAGGTTTCCATGTTCCAGGTTTTCTGTCCAAAATCCCAGTTCCGGTGCAACACACAATTAAATTGGCACTTAGACGGTACTGCAGTTCCTGTTTCCGAAAATTCCGAAATTTTGGCATTTGGACTCGTCTTGGCACTGGGCAGTTTTATCTCACTTTTCTTTAACATCCTTGACTACCTCTTCCAGAAATTTCAGAATTTTTCATCAAATATTTCTGAAGTTATAGTCGATATACCTCGAAAATTAGACCTTTTCGGAGACCTTTTTCCAGTTATTAAAGTATCATAAGAGTCTTTTTAACTAAAAAAATAATTTTAGCATGTCAAAAAAACGGAAAAGCCATCTAGAATAATTAAAAGTTTTTTTGATAGTGGACACCAGGTTGATCAATTTCGAATAACAAGTAATCTTTTGATAAATAATTCGAAAAAATTTAGTTTAAGTCAAATATTAGAGTTTCACCAGAACCTAATCCAATTTGAGTTACAGATTCCGGAACTGGAACTTCCGGTGAAACCTATCAAATCACGACGCAGCTTATAAAAACTACGGCTCCAGATGTGGAGCTCAGCAGACCTATTTACTCCAGATTACTTCATTTAAATTACCTGATATCCTTTCGTAGCCCCGTGATATCTCTTTAGATCTCTCTTGATTCCTTCCTCTTCACTACCAAGCATCTCTCAACTCAACGTTAATACTCAACTCCACGGCTAATACTCTAGAAAAAATTTACACATCTTGCGGTGTTTTTGAAATTCTCCTGCACCCGCCCCTGATTCACTTATTGTGCGGAATTTTACTTAAGGTGTGTTGCAAAAATTATAGTTGTACTTCGGTCCACCCGGAAAATTCCACAAAAATTTCTGTGGACGTAACTATCATTAAGACCAAGTAATAAATTTAAAAAATTAATTTACAGCGCCTAACATTGAAGAATTAAATTTGGCATTTTTTCAAATTAAATCAAAACCGGCGATTATTTATTCAATTTATTTGATTGAGAAAAAACAGAACAATAAAGATGTGTCACAATACCAATACAATGTTGACAAAGTGAAAAAGAAGTTAAACATAAATGAACAAGAATTTTACGAACAAATGAATTTAGATCAATTAAAAGCACATATCGAAATTGCTTGGGTTAGTTACAAAAGTGGGCTCTCGAGTTTGGATGCCCCAGAATTAGAAAAACACTCGAGATTAGATATTTTTAGAAGGGCGGTACGACAATTGCGGATATAAAATTTGAAATAAATTGAAGATTTTTCAAATTTTTGAGCGTCGAATTAGTTTAGAAATGATTAGGGAACCGTGAAAAGTCGGGAACTAACAGCAGGGCTAAAAAACAGGATCTAATTTCAATAATTTTGAAAATTCTTAAATCCGGAATTGTCTTAATACCCTTAGGAGGGGTGTCCTAATATATTATTCCTGATATATTAAGCTTTTTAGGGTGTCCACAAATAATTGTCCAAAAACTAAAAACATAATTCTATAATTTTTTAGTCTATACAAACAATGGAAGAAAATTACTTTTATAATCCAATACTCAAAATCTACTTTTATTTTAATTGGTCTACCTTCACGTTTTCAAAAAGTATTCACGATCCTTCATATAAACCAACTCCGTTAGAAAGCGGAGCTCAAAGTGTTGTAGGATCGGGACGTTCAGGTGGTCTAGCTAGTACTAGTGGGCAACAGTCAGGGGATGATGGTGGGCATATTGAATTTGGAAGTGGCGAGGAAGATGTTAGTGAGTATAACGAGGAAGATGCTGATGAATATAGCGATGAGGATGAAGAATATCAGCCAGGACCGTCCGAACCAACACCTCAGGAAAGTCAAGAGGATGAAATTCAAGAGATACAAGAAGGACATTATCCGGTCTGGCAGGGTTATGCTCCGATTCCAGGTAGCAAAATATTCAACAGAATTTGGAGGGATCACGTCTCATACATTAACTTTTTTCTCAGATTAATCCTCTATAGACTTGTAGTGATTTCTAAACATTCTTAAGCAAATTCATAGCTTTCCCAGAAATATCTTGAGCTCTCCTGACTTTGATATTAAATGTCAAAAACGTTAAATTTTAAGGGCAAGGGTATACTACAGGCCAGTATTATACTTCGGGACAATCAAGCTACGGTTCTTGGAATCCTTCGCAATAGTAAAACAAAATACAGAAGGTTGCATAAATTGGATGAGGAAGTCTGAAAAACTGTGAAAGAAGTTATTTTTGGGGTTATTTGAAGTAGTTTTTAGAGATTTTCATCTTTTTTAAACTCGGGTCTTTTTTGGTTATTTATTCTAGTTTAATTTATTTTTGTTTTAGCCATTCTTTCTTTATACTCCATTACAGTCAATTCGATATATCCAACTTGAAGGGATTTATAGAGAGAATGAGTAAAGGGACGTTAGGGAGAACTTGAGGAGATTTTTAGAGAGAACCAAAGTTAACTAGGAATTTCTTTATTTTGACAGATTCGTTAAATCGAAGAGGAGCTATATCGAGATTGACTTTATGTATTTCTTAGTGGATTTTAAAATTTTTATCTTATGGAACATCCGGACATTTTATTTTTTTATTCTCTTCCAAAGGGGGCTTTCTACTAAAGAAACGATATTTTTAAATTATTTTACTAAAATTGGGTACCATATTTAATCCAATTGTCCCATTTTTTAATCCTTCCATCTTTATGATTATGGCATTGTTAGTCATTTACAGGGTGACCGGAAATGAACCGGACACATTATTATTGGCATAACTTTATTCTAATTAGAGA